AATCACCACCAAGGCTCCTTCCACCACAAAAGCTCCAGCCATCACCACGAAGTCTCCTTCCACCACCAAGGCTCCTGCCACTACAAAAGCTCCTGCCACCACCAAGGTTCCTGCCACCACCAAGGTTCCTGCCATCACCACTAAGACTCCTTGCACCACTACCAAGGCTCCAGTAATCACCACCAAGGCTCCTTGCACCACCACTAAAGCTCCTTCCACTACCAAGGCTCCTGTCATCACCACGAGAGCTCCTTGTACTACCACGAAGGCGCCTGCTACCACGGTGGCTGCTTCTTTGACTACCACGGCTTCACCTAGCACCACCACGAAGGCTCCTAGCACCACAACGAACTCCCCTGCTACCACGACGGTTTCTCCTGTGACTGCACCCAGCACCACCACGGCTACACCTAGCACCACTACCACGGCTGCACCTGGCACTACGACCAAAACGCCTGCTACCACGACGGCTGCACCTGTGACTACCACCGATGCACCCAGCACCACCATGGCGGCACCCAGTACCACCACGGCTGCACCTAGCACTACCCAGGCTCCTAGCATCACTACAAAGGCTCCTTGCACCACCAAGGCTCCTAGTATCACCACCAAGGCTCCTTGCACCACCACAAAGGCTCCTAGTATCACTACCAAGACTCCTTGCACCACCAAGGCTCCTTGCACGACGAAGTCGCCTTGCACCACCAAGGCTCCCAGTATCACTACCAAGGCTCCTTGCACCACGAAAGCTCCTACTATCACTACTACCAAGGCTCCTATTATGACCACAAAGGCTCCTTGCACCACCAAGGCTCCTGCCACTACAAAAGCGCCTGCCACCACCAATGTTCCTGCCATCACCACTAAGACTCCTTGCACCACTACCAAGGCTCCAGTAATCACCACCAAGGCTCCTTGCACCACCACTAAAGCTCCTTCCACTACCAAGGCTCCTGTCATCACCACGAGAGCTCCTTGTACTACCACGAAGGCGCCTGCTACCACGGTGGCTGCTTCTTTGACTACCACGGCTTCACCTAGCACCACCACGAAGGCTCCTAGCACCACAACGAACTCCCCTGCTACCACGACGGTTTCTCCTGTGACTGCACCCAGCACCACCACGGCTACACCTAGCACCACTACCACGGCTGCACCTGGCACTACGACCAAAACGCCTGCTACCACGACGGCTGCACCTGTGACTACCACCGATGCACCCAGCACCACCATGGCGGCACCCAGTACCACCACGGCTGCACCTAGCACTACCCAGGCTCCTAGCATCACTACAAAGGCTCCTTGCACCACCAAGGCTCCTAGTATCACCACCAAGGCTCCTTGCACCACCACAAAGGCTCCTAGTATCACTACCAAGACTCCTTGCACCACCAAGGCTCCTTGCACGACGAAGTCGCCTTGCACCACCAAGGCTCCCAGTATCACTACCAAGGCTCCTTGCACCACGAAAGCTCCTACTATCACTACTACCAAGGCTCCTATTATGACCACAAAGGCTCCTTGCACCACCAAGGCTCCTGCCACTACAAAAGCGCCTGCCACCACCAATGTTCCTGCCATCACCACTAAGACTCCTTGCACCACTACCAAGGCTCCAGTAATCACCACCAAGGCTCCTTCCACCACAAAAGCTCCAGCCATCACCACGAAGTCTCCTTCCACCACCAAGGCTCCTGC